TCTCGGGCACGTAGTGGAAGCGCAACGTCCTCTGGCGGCAGTGGCCAAAGAGCGCCGGTTCTCCTGCCCTCGCGAAACACGTCGGGGACTTGTTCGACGGGCCGAGAAAAACTGGGGGTAGCGTGTGGTGTAGAAGGGCAGGTTGTGGTTTTATGTCTATTGTTTTTTTTTATATATACACAGGCACGTATGCAAGCACGCGCGCACGCACACACACACAGATTGAGAGAGAGAGAGAGAGAGAGAGAGAGACAGAGAGAGAGAGAGAGAGAGAGAGAGAGAGAGAAGAGAGAAAGAGAGAAGAGAGAGAGAGAGAGAGAGAGAGAGAGAGAGAGAGAGAGAGAGAGAGAGAGAGAGAGAGAGAGAGAGAAGAGAGAGAGAGGAGAGAGAAGAGAGAGAGAGAGAGTGAGAGTGAGAGAGACAGATAGAGAGAGAGAGAGAGAGAGAGCGAGATAGAGATAGAGAGTGATAGAGACAGACAGATAGAGATAGAGTCAAACTGATAGATAAATATTGACACGCATGCAGCACATATCAGACAAGAGGAACTTTGACAGAAAGGCCGTTCATCATTATCATTATTATTATTCACTTTTATCATTATCATTCTCATTTTAATTTTTTCCCTTCTACTTTTTTGACTTTCGTATTCGTCTTAATGCTACGACGTCCCTTCGAGAATTCAGGAGTAACTCTCCCTTTGTATAGAGGGCACTTTATTTCATCATTCGGTCCTCGCTCGACTTCTATGCACAGACCAGACATGTGACTCATAAGAGGTATTTTAACGTCATACGTCAGCATCTGGAAGTCGGGTCTTCCTTTTCTATCGTTTATCATACAGAATCTGATGGAATGACATTGTGGAGTAATAATTGTTACAGACGCTCTTGGTGCTTCGGTGGGCAACAGTCTAAGGGTGTGACTACTTTATATCCTTATAGTTTGGCTTGCATTTAATTAATGTTCTACCTACTACTCGAAATAAAATAGTTCTGTTCTCACAAAGCCTAATAAACCTCATAAACTTAATTTTGCCAATATCTCGCCGGTGTTAATGTAAAGTTATTGCTCTTTCTGAAAAAAAAGCAGATAAGAGAGATAAGAGACAGGGTTCTTATCTCCTTTACTGATCAATTTTCTTTCTTTAATATTTTCCTTTTAAACTTCCGGGACTTCGCTTTGGTCAACGTGTCAAGCAGCTGGCAACAGCTTGAAAATAGGCCGTTGAGGCATTAACAAAATCACAGGAAGCAAACTACAAGTAATACAATAAGCAGGCAGTCAAATTTCTCTACCGCAGGCGAGTGAGCAGGTACTGTCTTCCTAAATAGTTGCCAAGGACCCTTACAGAGCAAAAAATTAGGCTGTGATGTGGAAAATGCAAGACCTTGCACCCTCCAGTATATTCCTTCAAGGGAAATAGACTATGCTGAGAAGGGTGATGTCTTAAAGCAATTGTAAGGTAATCGTTCCTTATTGCATAGCAAGCCCAACCCCTAACCCTCCACTGCAACACTCATCAATATAATCGGCTGGGTTGTTAGAATAGTGCGAGGCTTGACTCAATGAATATTTACATATACGAACATGTATATACGCAGAAATAAATGCATATATCTCAGTCTGGACGTGCGTATCTAACGCTTAGATAGATAAATGTATATATGCGATAGATAGGCAGATATGCATTAATTTCTCTATATTTGCATGTTTATATATATGTATATCTACTGGGTCTGGCCTCGCATGTACCCAACTGGCCGAATGTCTTTCTGCTTCGTTTCGTAAACACTAAAGAAGATTCGGGTTGTGATTTGAGTCCTGTGGTTACGGTTGACGGGATGTCAGTGAAATTTTTGCTGTTTTAATTATTTTAGTCGAAGGTCAGTATGTATTGGACTTATTGTTCTGTATCAATTAATTTTTGTTATGAATCTCCATTTTTTTCTGATCATATATTGTTCTATGGGGTTTTTGTGGATCTTTGTTCTCCTCCAATTTGTTATTCATCTAAGTATTCTTTTTCTAGTCTTGTTTTGTCCTCTTCCCCCCTCTCTCTCCTCCCTCCCCCACTCTTTCTCTCACCAAATCCATTCTATTTTATCTTTTAGCTTTTGTGAAACTTTTCTACCCAAACTCTCTCTTACTCTCTATCATTTTCTCTCTCCCTCCTTCCCCCATCCCCCTTTCTCCCTCTCTTCCCCCCCCCCCTCTCTCTCTCTCTCTCTCTTTCTCAAATTTATTTTATTTCAACTTTTAGCTTCTGATACGTTATGTCATCCTTTGTACTCTTAAGTGGCCTTCTAACTCTCTCTAGTATACATATCATTTAGTTTATGCTTCTACACAATAGGAAACTTAGTCCATATCTCCTTCTGTAATATCTCTTTCTCCTCTATGACTATTTTTCTAAGCTTGAGTCAGCAAATGTCATGCCTTGACTTCCCAGGATGTTGGTAATGAGATGTTGCTCTCTCTAGGGTTGTAGTCTTTGTGTAGTGATTGTAGTAATGGTGTAGAAACCACCACTGCCCTTGATCCATTGAATGCTATTAAACAGCCACTGCTATCCATGACATGCGACCGTTAGATAACATTCACTTCCCCATGCGATACCAGAGACTGCCTTGATCCTGGAAAAAATGGTGTACCCCACTTCCCCACTGCCTTGTTTCTCTATCTCTCTCTCTCAGTGACGGTTGTAGAGGCAGTAACCCCCCCCCCCTCTCTCTCTCTCTCTCAACCTCCCTTCCTCCCTCTCTCCCTTTCCCCTCTTCTCTCTCTCAATCCTGTGCTTTAATGTGGGTAAAATTTATGATAGCCTTCATACTCCACCTTTTCCCACCAAGTTAGGAACCTGTCGTCATTCACGAAGCTGTTTGCTTGCCATTATCATACACAGGTTATGAACATGTCATTGATCATCACCCAGCTATTGACTTATCAGTCACCATCAGACTGCGAATCTGTTATCTTATAAGCAGTCATCCCCAGGTTGTGAACCTTCCATCAGTCATCCTCATCTGTGAACCTGTCATCCCATCACCTGGCATCACCAGGTCGTAAAACTATCAATGATCATTACCAAACTAATCACCAGTCTATGAATTTGTCATCAGTCGTCACCAGCTTGTAAAATTATAATTACCAGGCTATGAATATTTTATCAGTCATCACCAGCCTGTGAACTTATCATCACCAGTCTATGAATTTGTTATCAGTCATCACCAGCTTGTGAATTTGTCATCAATGATCTCCAATTATCAAGTGCACCTTTACCTCATTGAATCAGGGGAGACTTAAGAACGAGGGGTTCTTTGTTGTATCCATATGTTTCAAGCTATAAGGGTCCAAAGCCCATCTTTTCCTCTTCAGATTTGATTTCCACAGGCTACAAGGTCCTGGGCAGTCCCTTATTCCATCCAGGACTGTTATTAAAGGAGATATCCCGGTGGGAGAGATCATTGTCGAGCCAAGTGTAGTTCATAGAGAACAAAGCCCTGCCTGACCCCTTAATTCACAGGAAGTTAGATATCTGCATGTATGAGCCTCTCGCTTGTTACAATAGACTCCTACAAGTCTAGTGGAGCAATGACAGGATATACAGTTTTGGACTCTTTATTGAGTACATCACACAGATAAATAAACACTTCACAAAATAATACAAACATCTTGAGAGCAGTATGAGGGGTAGAATGCAGTACAAGTCCCAACCCACCCATAGAGCAGTGAAACAGAAAGTGGGATGCTCAGTTCAGACAGTTATTGGAGGTATTCTACATGAGCATTGGTAGAAAGGGTTAAGATCAGATAAATTGATAACCCTCAAGTGGCCTTGTTCACTCAAACACACTTTATATTCACCCTTAATAAGTCGTCCTCGAGGGGTAACTACTTTATCTGGTTCTACCTAGCTGGCCATTACTTCCCTTTGCGCCCTTTCTTGGCTACTTCTAGACTTCCACATCAAGGTGTCCAGTGGTAAGTTGAGGTCATCCTTCACTTGGCCCAGGCTTCCTCGTCCTGGTCTTCCTTTTCCTGGCTGGTGTTCTACCGGCATCGTCTTCTCGTCCTCTAATTGGCTGTATTTCTCTCCATCTTCATGTCTGCTCTTCCTTGCCTTCTCTTTCATCTCATCTTTATCATCCTGGAAATGGCACTCTACCCACGTGGCAAATCAGTGGGTTTTATGGGTGATCTTATGGCGATGCTCTTCCCTCGGCATATAAAGGTGAATGCATTGGCAAGTAGCTGAACCAAGATCATACACACTTGGGCCAATATAGGAAAAGAATGGTAACATAGTCAGGGAGTGTGAGTGTGTAACATTAGAGACTTTTTTCAAGTATTAGTTTTTTTTTCTCTCTCTCTCAACAAAGATAATGAGAAAATAGAAGAGGAAGATGTTAGTAGTGTTTCCGAAGAACTTGTTTAAACTACAAGCCACCTCAGATAGGCAAGAGAAACATAGACTTTGTAATTTAAGTTTCTTGTTTGGCAAGAGAGAAGGTAACAGCAATCTTCTCACATAAGAGAAAAATGCAGTAAAAAAATATAACATTATTTGCATCCAGTCCTCTTCTCTTGTCATGACTTGTCGATGGAGGAAGAGGCAATGTTTGCGGGCAACCGAGAACAAAGCTTCTTGAAAACTCTGGATGGCATGTAGATGTCATCAAAGCCATTAAAGCAGGAGGAATCTCCATATAATACACAAAGGAATCGAAAAGCGACATCCCTCTTACCAACCCTGGCCACCATGGGCCAAACCTTCTTTTGATGTGACCATCACTTCCCTCCCAATAATAATAATAATAATAAAAATCTAAATATCAAACAAATAGCAGATTTCTTAAACTCCAGACCTATAGCAAACGATCAGATAATATACAAATATGGATCTGTAGACCCATTCTGTAACCATGAAGCTGCCGTGTTCCACTGCTCCAACCAAGCACTGGAATTTGCAATGAATGCCCACCCAACATCCTTACTTATCTACACAGACTCTCGTTCAGCCATTTGAACACTGGGATTTGAATGGCCTCTAGAAAACTTTTTTTCTGGTCACCTCCATCCATGCGAAACTACAAACTCACAAATAACGATTGTATAGTAACTCTCACATGGATACTAGCCACATAAGCATCCATGGAATGATGTAGCAGTCCAATTAACTGGTGTAGCACTTCACTCCACCAACATAAGCATTGCAATACATCCTAGCGCACCTCAACTCAAAGCCTTTGTCAAAAGGAATATCTTATATTTTTTTAAATCCAAGCTTGAACACATACTATGGATATCTTGAGGATCCCCCTCTGCCACATAGTATAAAGAGGTCGCCTTCTACAACAGACCCCTATATATAAGACTTCTAGACACTAAGTTGCCTCTGATTCACTCCTAAGTCCGATACACCGAGGTAATTATTTCTAGCTTATACATATCAGATTAAGGATTACTTCACAATGGAGCTTACCAATAGCTATTTTTCTGAACAGTAATAAAGTAAAATTAATGGAGAGACAGAAGACATTCCCTAAATAACACCTCTACACTGCAAATCTCTGACTAGCACTCGCGACGACTAATTCTGATGTATTCATCTGTCATGAAATCACACAACCTCCTACGATTTATCTAAACTATGCAAGCAGCTTCCATAAGAACAGAGAACTGATAAGGATACAATCAACAGCTGCACAGTGATTCTAACTCAAAAGCTGCATCATTCAATTATGAACACATAACTGCTTTAATTTACCTTTTGACTACCATAGGCTCCTTCAAAACGCAAAAACCTATATTAGGCATCTTGTAAATTAGACACTTATCCTACGTTTTTGTACTCTACGATTTCCATTATGGAATAGACACTGGTGCTAAATTCACTGTACAATTAATATAAAATTCGGTTTAGTCTCCATTATTGTGCGAACTGAATGAACCACCACAAAGCAGTGTAACAATATCCCCATGGTGTCCATAGCAATAACAAAAAAAAAAACGGTCCATTGTTTAGGTTTTATCTATTTACAATAAATAAATAAAAAAACAAAAAAACGTTTTTTTTAGATCAGAGAAATTTTGTAATAGAATATCAAAGACTGCTAAATTGTGTTCTATTTTTGTACCTGGGTTAGCGAGGCCTCACTGTCCCTTCCCACATCTCGGAAAATAGTTACAGGTGAGAAAGGGTTTAGTAATTGTATAGCCATGTTTGTGTACAAGAAAAAAAGTGTATCAAGACATAAAAGATTGCACAACAATTACCACTCTTTCCCGACACAAACTAATGGAAGAGCAGAAACTGAAAAGACCCAAATGTGGGGAAGAAAGTATTTAAAAGGCCCAAATGTAGGGAAGGAAAGTAATTAAAAGGCCTATATGTGGATGAAAAACAAAATAGAAATTAAGAAGAATTGAAAGATTTGAAAAGGCCTCAATGTGGGAGAAGCAAAGAATTGAAAAGGCTCAAATGAGGGAAAAGAAAGCATTAAAAGGCCCAAATGTGGGAAAACAAATTACTGAAAAGGCCTAAATGTGAAAAGTAAGAATTGAAGATGTCTACATGTGGATAATAAAAGAAATAAATAAAAAGGCTTAAATGTGTAAGAAAAGAAAATTGAAAAGGCCTAAATGTGGGGAAAAAAGCAAGTAAAAGTCCCAAATGTGGGAGAAGGAATAATTGAAAAGGCCTAAATGTGCGTGTGTGTGTGGGGGGGGGGGGGATATTTGAAAAGGTCCAAATGTATGAGAAGACATTAAAGATATGAAAAGCCCAAATTTGGGATAAGGGAAAAATGAAAAGGCACAAATGTAGAAAAGAACAAACTGAAAAGGTCCACATGTGCATTTAATTGGTTTTCGAAGTCTTTGTTGTCGTACCTTGGTTATGCTGCAAAAGCCGCCACCGTCAACAGTTGTAAGAGTCTCTCTCTTATGATAAATTCCTACAAGTGCAGCGCTGTAATAATGGACTATACAGATTTTACCCTATATTGCCCTGAACACAGAAATGAGTAAGCACTACACAAATACACTCTGGAAAACAGTGCAAGGCTAAGCGTGTAGGACCTGTAAAACCCAATGCTTTACCACTCTGAACCCTGGAGATCGTCTCCATAACTTCTCTCAGGGATTGGCTGGCAGGAAAGAGGTAATTAGGAAATGGCCTACATCATCTTGAAGGTTCCCAATATGCATTCCTTGTCCCTCAGCACCGCCCTAGTCCTACATGTCGAGGTTATATACATGTCCCAGTCATCAGCTAAGCAAGCTGTGTAACCCACAACCATGGCCTCTAGCATCTCCAACAAAATTCGGGTCTTCCTAGTTCTTGGATGGTCACCTATTGCCAATGGCCTCCCAAACTGCATCAGAAATTTAACTTTTTGAGTCTTAGAACACTTCAATTTGTTCACGTGGAAACCCTGGTGTGGTCAATGGACAGACAGGAGGTTAAGAAGTGGACCTAGATGGAGAACTATGGTCATAATCGGTAACTTAGAGCTCTGGTAGACCCTACAATTCTAAAGAATCTTCCAGTGAGTGTAGACAATAGACATACAGCTGCAGAATCTACCTTAAAAAGAGCTAGGAGTGAGCAGTTATATTTACTGTTATTAATATCCCTATACTACTCAGTTAAACACCCAACACGGCTAAAATTGCAGTTATGAGCCTAAGAGAAAGAGAAAGCAACTCAATGCTGAAAATGTAAAGCGAAAGTCATACAAGCAACATGTTTAGAAAAGTGGATAATGAAAAAATGGAATTAATGAAGACAGTATTATAAATAAAAGGGGATGATTAGTTGCATTGGTAAAGTCAATCAAGAGGCACTGCACCATTTTCTTATTAAGGGGGAAATGCACTTATACTCACTAGGGATGATCAACAACCTCATATCATCAGATCACCATCAACTTATAAAGTGCATCTTTACCTCGTTTAAAGAAATAATCCACCCTTTACTTTTTTCAATATACTCCTATTCCCTATTATGGTTAGGAATGTCATTCATTAGTTCAGTGGCAGGTAGAATGAACCATCTCTAAATTTACAGAGTTTAACCATGCAAAAGAAATATGAAAAATAAAATACTGAACACAAAGAAGGAAAAATACACAGCCCAAAATGTGATGTCCATATCTTAACCTCTAAGTTCAATAATAAGATAATTACAAAGATAAATGGATCTGCAGCTTAAGCAAACAACTTGTTTGTTGTTCAAACTAAAAGTAAAATAAAGCCTTAGGCACCACCTAAAGGCATGCAAGAAATGACATTGCAAACTCGTCAACAACTGCCGTTTGCATCCGCTAGTCGAAAACAAAGTAAGAATGTAGAGAGACTGATAAGCAGGTAAATAGCGAGACAGTGATAGAGAAAAAATCATTACCTGTTCCCCTTCCAAAACTCGGCGGTGGACATTCAAGGGTTTGCTTCACTCGCACAACGGGGTCTCTCTCGTCGTCATAGCCGTAAACAAAAGTGAAGCGACAGTCATTTTCGTCAAAGAAGGTGCATAAACGTTCTTCTTCTGTTTCTTCTCTGGCAACTTGCACCATTGTGGAGTTGAATAGCTTGCACTCTTGCATACACTCATCCTCGCTTAAATCTCCTGTGCCAAATGCCTGGCATTGAACGCAAGATTTGTACTCAAGACAGCTGCCTCTACAGGTTGGACAGTCCTCACACCACTTGCCAGAATACCTCCCACCCGCTGAGGCGCTGCATCTACACATGTTGCACTCGCATATGCCTTGGTTTGAACAGATTTCTCCAGTCACAGGGTTTCTGCAATTCTCCACGCTTTCCTCACACTCGCAGGCTTCTCCTGTCCACCCAGGTTTGCACCGACACCTATTGCAGATGCATTCGCCATGGTCGGGTCCCGAACAGAGAAGTCCATTGTGTCGATCGCAGAGGAAGTTGGTGCATTCGCAGAACTGCCCACTGATAATCTCCAGGTGGTTAGGGGTTGAATCGCAGCTGCACTGTCCACATGCACAGGTTCCTCGACCACTGCATGGACTTGATGCCCTCGTTTCCTTGCAGGAGGAGTCATCGAAGGCCTCCGGTCCCCAGGGAGTGTCCTTGGGACACAACTCGGCTGTCGAATCCCGACGTTCTGATACAGCTGTGGATCCTGCATTGAGAAGAATTTTGATTAGGTGTTGGTAGTCATCTCTATGGTTGATGTTCTTTGCATAGCTGGCAACCTAAGACGTCTTGAAAGAAGGGAACTATGTGTAGGAAACAGAACAAAAATGAATAGTAGAATCAAAAGGGTTGGTTGGTGTTATTATTATTATTGTGAAGAAGCTTTTGAATGTTGAGAATGAATGAGTGAAAGCAATATTGGTGACTAGCACCTCTGTATTCTAAATGATCAACCAGTCAGTCCCTCAATTATTCAACTTTTCAGTCATCAATTTACAAAGTACGTTATTGCCTCATTACAAGAGCAAATGAAAAAAAAAATACTCTCGATTTTCTAATTATCATTCCCTTTTCATGTTTGTTTATTCTTTTAAAATTCCAATCACTTGGTTGTTTTGTGATCATTGAAATAAAGAATTTTCAAAGCTGTACAGTACTCTGCTATGAGGTAGAATCATCTGTAAGTGATGCATAGATGGGAAAAAAGGCATCTTTAATAACATATTGTATCAAGTTCATCACATTTTGAACTACTCATTAGATTTTGTATTGTTTTATGTTCATTCATAAAAGGTATTCAAAACTGCAGGGTACCAGTGAAGTGGTACTATGATCTGACTTAATGAAATTCAAAATTCTTGTGGTAGTGTCACTTCTACCATTGCCGTTGTGCAATCATTGAATACATACTTATGCTTTGCATTCACCATGTATCGCGCGCAGTGACACTTGTACATGTAATTATACACAATGTATTATTAGTATTAGACACGCCATGCATGCATACTACCTGTCATTTAATAGACCTTTGTAAGGCAGCCAGGCC